CTGCCCGTTCTTCAGCCACTTGATCTCGATCCCCCCGGGGTAAAACCTCGTCACGGAGCAAACCAGCAGGTGGGAGTGGGGCCCGGACCCCGATTTCATGGGGGAAACTTTCACCTTGGGCTGAACTGCAGGGAGAAGGGGGGGGGCTGGGAAAGGGTCTGGAGACAGAGCAGGGCTGAGAGAGAACAGGTGCCCCACCTCCCCCCGGGACAGGCTCCAGCCCCCCATGTGCTCCCCCTGCCCCCAGGCTGGTTCTCTCTTGCCCCCCATTGCCCTGGGCAGGCTCCAGCAGAAAGGGCCCGAGGGAAGTCGCGTCCCATCAGCCCCATGGGAACAAAGCCAGGGACTGTCTGACCCTTGGGGTACAGGGACACTGGGTCTCAGCCCAGGGACTGCCCCCACCTCCCTGCCAGGGACACCCCGAGGGGGGAGGGGCAGGGTTGGGGGGTGGAAAGTTCTGCCCCATCTCCCGGCCCCTGCAGCCCAGGAAGGGGAGTAGAAGCCGCAGCAGCTGCCTGCCCCGGGGGAGAGTTGAGGGTTGGGAAGCTGGGGGCTGGGCCTTGGGGGCCTGAACCCCCTCAGAAGGGCGGGGGGCTGGGAACAGGGCAAGGGTCAGTGACACACCCCCAGACACCAGTATGGGGCTGTGCTCTCTGCAGACAGGGAGTGCCCAGGCAGACCCAGGAAGGAGGGGTGGAGAGGCCCCCCATTACCGCATCCCAGCCAGCGCCTGGGCCCCTTCCCCACCTGCTGCTGAGTGACCCCACCGCTGACCCCGCGCCTGCTGCTCTCTTTGCCCCCCACCCCCAGCGCAAGAGGAGCAGGGTCCTGCTCCCCCTTCCTTGTCTCCGGCACAGGTCGGGAACTGGAGATAACGGGGGGCAGGAGGGGCAGAGCGGCCGACCCCCCTGGCTCCGCCCCCGGCCACGTCCCACTCACCTCTCCTGTCGATGGTGAAAGGCGTGTCCACCCTGTAGTTGTTCCGGCAGTACGTGTCCACCTCAGCCCGCTTCTGCGCCAGGAACGCCTGGTCCTTGTTCCAGCCCTCGGCCCAGCTCCGCCCCAGCTCCGTGTCCGCCACGAACAGCCCCAGGTCGCTGTCAAAGTGCACGAACTGCTGCTGGTTGTAGATCCACCTGGCCAGGAGCCGGACCCGCTCGGTGCCGTTGGTGAAGTGACAGTCACCCTTGAACTGGAACACAAACCGCTCTGTGGGGAGGAGATGGGGATGGAGACGGGCTCAGATCAGAGACCTGCCGCCTGCCCCTCCCGCTGCTCCCGGGGCTCGGAGCCCAGCTGGGGGTAGGGGGGACACTCAGCCCCAGAGAGTCCCCCCAACCCTTCAGGACCCAGGGCCTGGCGGGCGGACAGGAGCATGTCGGGGGAGAGGAATGAAAGTAACACCAAGTCCGGGGGCGGTGGGGCTGGGGCAGCACAGAGAAAGGGGGCATCGGAGACACTGAGCAGGGGTGACACCAGCACAGGACGGGGCTCCCCGGGGAGCTGGGGTCCGACCCCCCCCGGATACACTCGGCGCTGCCCAGGACGGGGCTCGCCGGGGCGCTGGGGTCTCTACTCACTTGGGGGCTCCGTGCAATGAGCCAGGTGGGTTCTCAGCATCGCCAGTGTCACTAGCAGAGCCCCAGCCCAGCCGCTCCCGGCCCCCAGGATCCGACCCGCCCCCATCGCTGCTCAGGAGGCAGAGATCTGGAAAGTCATCGGGACCCTCAGCCTGAGACCCCGGGGATTGGGCACCCCCAGCCTGAGACCTTCTCTGTCCAGCTCCGAGCACCAGCCCCGGGACGCTGCCCACAGCCCCGGGGATTGGGCACCCCCAGCCCAGGGGCCAGTCAGCACCGGGGCTGGGCAGCATCATCAGTCGCCAGGCAGAGCCGGCCCCAGCAGGGCTCGGTTCCCTACTTCTCCCTTGTAGGGGGCAGAGCAAGGGCCTGGGGTCAGGCTGCAGGACTCGCCCAGCACCTGCCAGGGCCCCGGGGTAGCTGGAGAGCGGGGCCAGCCCAGGGACCAGCCCCTACCAGAGCAGGGCCCCCAGCAACGGACCTGGGACCCTCCATCCCCTTCCCCTGGGCCTGGCACACCAGCCCCCCTCTGCTGGGGGAATGGGGCAGGCCAGGTCTCTGTGGGGCGTCCCTGAGGTTTGTTGGGGGTAAATTTAGTCCCAGGGAAAGGTTCAAGGCTGGCCCCAGAGGCAGAAGTTCTGACCCCCCCCCTCCACAGGCCTAAGCCCTGCCCCCCAAGAAGCCCCAGAGTGGGGGGTTCAGTCTCCATGGGTCAGGTACAGCTCGGCCTCCCAGCTGCTCCCTGTCACGAACTCACAGATCGTGCCCACTCTTGGCCCCGTGCGGTCCGTGGGGGGAGCCCCTTTTAGTGCGACAGCCCTTCTCGGGGGTCCACTCTCTCTCGGGGTCAGGCCCCTCCACCTCCTGGAGCTGCACCTCTCTGAGCCTGAGCACGTCTGTCTCTGCCGTGGTCCCCCTCAGGGAGTCCCCTCGCTCTGGACCCCCGGGGCCCCCC